TAATCCCAAAAAGTCATTTAAGCTGTTGAGAACCTCGTCAACATTATGGATTTTCTGTCATTTTACTGAAATTCACAAAATTAAACTTACTAGATTGCTGGCTGAGGCCACAGAAATGTTCCTGGGTTCTGCCCACCACTGCCAAACAGTAATTGTAAGGTCCTTAACTTCATCTCAGATAGTTTTCACGTGATAGTTTTTGCTTGAAGCTGTCTATGGATTCTACTGAATGTTCTGGTTTTGTCTGGGATAGTTAATTTTCTTCCCAGTAGCTGGTGCAGTGCTGCGGTTTGGCTTTAGTCTGAGAATGCTGATAATATACCAATGTTTTAGTTGTTGCTCATTAATGCTTACCCTAACCAAGGACTTTTCAGTCTCTCCTGCTCTGCCAGTGAGAATGGGCATGGGAAGCCAGGAGGAAGCACAGACAGGACACCTGACCCAAACTAGCCAAAGGGATATTCCATGCCACAACACGTCATGCCCGGTACATAAACAGGGGGAGTCACCCAGAAGGAAGCAATCATTGCTCAGGTAGGCTGCGTATTAGTCAGCAGGTGATGAGCAATTATATTGTGCATTTCCTTTTAATTTTATATTCTCTCCCCTTGTTACATCCCTTATCATTAATATTAATATTATTATTATTACTAGGAGTAGTAGTATATTGTGCTTTAGTTATTAAACTGTTCTCATCTCAACCCATGGGATTTATGTTCTTTCCATTCTCTTTCCCATCCTGCCTGGGGAAGGGGGAAAGGGGCTGAGTGAGCAGCTGTGTGGTGCTGAGTTACTGGCTGGGTTTAAACCATGACACTGAAAGATGGTCTGAGTTGTAATCTGGGATCAAACCTTTGCTAGATGCACACTGGTATGCCAATCACTGGCTGCTTTAACTTGACAAACATCATTTTGCCTGCTGGTAAAGTCCCTAGTTTCTATTTAGGCGAGACTACCTGGACCTAAATAAAGCTCAAAAATTTCAAGCATACATTCCATAAGACAGACACAGGTTTTTCTTTTGATTCCTGAAGAGGCACTGGAGACACCTGTGTGAAAAATGAGAAAGAAGGACTAGAGATTCTGGGTAAACAGGAAACACCAGTTAGACTAACCTTCATGACTACAGCTGTGAAGCAAGAGCCTAACTACTAAGGCAGAATAACTTGTGACAGTGAACATTGTTAAGACATGTAGATTGGTGAGGGAGGAATAAAAAAGTTCAACTGCAAACCCAAGCTTGTATCATCGCCTCATGCTAGTTACCTGAAGCCAACCAGAAGCAACTGAGGTATTTATAACCAGGACTGGATACAGTTGGTATCACTTATTATTCCTACAAGGTAAAATAAGTGGTTATAGTGACACCAGTGATGCTGGACACTAGGAGATGAAAATCCTCAGGGAGGAGCATGAAGAACCATTGACTGACCAGGGCTCTAATAGAGTCAGGAAGAAGACGAAAACTAAAAATTCTATGATTAAACATATTTAAGCAGTGATTCAAGAGACATATTTATGGTACATGGAACTTAAAGAGAAGCGTGCAAAATGGAAAGAGACTAAGAAGGCTTTGCAGTGAGGTATGAATTTAAGGGGGCAAAGAAGAGGTGAAGCAGCAACATCTTATGCGTTGCAGATTAATTGCAGGACTAACAGGAGAGAGAAATTGAGATTTAGAGGAATTCTTGAGAGAAGTTATTTGACACGCAGTAGCGATCTTGAGAGTGTCTTGTATCAAACCAGAAATAAATCAGGATTAGAAGAAAAAGGGATTGGATATCTTTCCTTGAAAGGAAGTAAAAGAATGAGAAGGGAGGAAATACTGAAGGAATAATTGCCCAAAGGCTGTACTTGGTGAGGTTCAATTAAATAGTGGACAGGGAATGGCCAGACGTCACAGAATCAGCATGGGCATGACACACATCCTGAACTGTGTCTACACCCAAGAGAGCTTTTTTAGTGAGACTGGGAAATATGGCACTACTCAACAGTGGTTGTATGCCTCCAGCATTTTCATTATCTGTTCATAAAGTAAAGAGAAATAGGGGGTAATCTTGAGACGGATTGAGCAAAAAATCTCCAGTTCTCACACATTATTTTAATTATCTAGAAAGACTGGTAGAAACAGCCAGTTTCAAAGCTGCAGTTTTTCCCCACAGCTGGTAGATCAAAGTCTGGATGCTCATCAAACTGAATTTTTTTTTAATTTTGAGACTACCAAGTGCTTCAAGGCAACTATCATCACTCCCTTTCTGGAGCATAAGGAGTTAACTCATTTAAAACTGACCATAAGTAAAATAGAAAAAGAGTTTGCATACACCAGTGCTGATCTCTGAGTACTGAGGAAAGCAAACCAGCCTGGGTAGATTAATAGGTTATGCAGTATAAAGTCTTTCTGAATCCTTGGCACACATGAAAGCCTTGTAATACAGGTTTTCTGAAAGAAGTCAAGTATGCTTCCTACTAGCTGATAGGAAAAAATGCCTAAAACCAGCATGTTCAAAGTGCTCCTTGGAGTAACTGTAGTTTGCATGTAGGAATACTGCATAAGTACTTGTTGGACAAGAATCAGGAGAGCTTTGAGGGTAGGTGTAAAACATTAACAAAGTGAGATTACACATTTGGTATTGCCACAAAGTTTCTTGAGGCAGGCATGTAGTAAGCCTCCCACAGACTTGAAGCAAAGCTCTCACAAGTAGTAGTAAACTCCCATAAACTTGAATGCAGACTGCAGATTAATAAGTGGTAAGCAATCAAATTTCAGTTTAAAAAAATAATTCAAGAAGCATGTCACTGAAAATATAGGATTACATGACAGGTCAGCACAAGTTGTTCATATATGCATGGATCTGTGTCTGCAAATGTGCAAGCTTTCTAAAGCTTTGGGAATAGGGGGCTAAAACCTTTTGAGAAGTTTAAGTAACAGCAGATTTTTCATCCTCTATTGGGAAGATTACCAGCTCAGTGATCTCTCAGGCCCTACAACCCTTTTTCCCCTTCAGGGTTAGTAAATGAATCTGACCATATCCAAAAGCTTCACACGAATCCACTCTCATTTTGTGCAAAGACAAATCCTTCTATGAGGATTTGGCCAGCTTGCTAGCGCACATCATTAGGATCTCTGTCACTTGATCATGAGTGCGGTCTCTGCCTTAAATAAGTATTTTGGCTGAAATTTCTTTTCCCTGTATTTGCTGCTGAGCCTGGGCCTGCTGTGCTGGACAGAGAAGAGCTTTCTGGTAGTGCAGTGGGAGGTGTGCTCTGCCTACGATTCACAGCGGTGACACACAGGTGTGTGGGCACAGCTTCAGCCAAACCCTGGTGTCCCTTAGGGCTGTCTGCAGAGGAGCTAGGAGGAAAGGTGTAATGCCCCACATCCAGCACAGTAAAGGGAGACATGAGCAGTAGACTTTCTTTCCAGGCTTTTCCCATACACTGCTGAGGCTGGCTGCCCATATCTAAACTACTGAGGTGGCATATGAACAGATGTCAGTTTTCACAGAGATCAGAAGGGTCCATCAGGGACAGGGTATCACATTAGCAATCACAAGCAAATGCACAAATGCCTCCTGCCCAGTTATCCTGCTACTGTGGCTGGACCCAGCTTTCCACAGGGAATGGTGAGATTTCCCTCTCCCTACCTAGAAACCGAGCACATGTCAGACTTCCAGGACTGGAGCACCTGTTGTATGAAGACAGGCTGAGAGAGCTGGGGTTGTTCAGTCTGGGGGAAGATCATTATAGCACCCTTCTCTTCCACTACCTAAAGAGACTTAATAAAATCTTAAGGACTTCATGCAAGGGCATGGAGGGATAGGACAAGGGATAATGGCTTTAAACCGAAAGAGGGTGGGTTTACATTAATATAAGGAAGAAGTTCTTTACTGTGAGGGTGGTGAGGCACTGGCACAGGATGCCCAGAGAAGCTGTGGCTGCCCCATCCCTGGCATTGTTCAAGGCCAGGTTGGATGGAGCTTGGGGCAACCTGGTCTAGTGGAAGGTGTCCCTGCCATGGCAGGTCAGGTGAAACTGGATGATCTTTAAGGTCCTTTCCACCCCAAACCTTTCTGGGATTCTATGACTGATTTCCCAGCTCTGGTCTCTCACCACAGGCAGACCCAGCTCAGGATTTTGATTGTTCTAGGACAATCCTCTGTGCAAAAAAAAAAAAAAAAAAAAAAGCTGTGGCTTTTTTTTTTTGTTGTTGTTGGTGGTGGTTTTGGTCGCTTTTTTGGTGGAAGCACGAGGTCTGTAGCGGAACTGAGCTTTTCCCTGGCAAAAATCCCAGTCACTGCAATCACTCATGTTGAAGCCAAACTGCATTGTGGGTGCGGGGCTGAAGCACGGCTGAGGTTCAGGAGCCTCGCTGGTGAAGCTCACAAGACTCAGCGAGGCTGAGTCATTGGGCTGACAGCACCAATTTTCACAAGTATGGACAGAATCATGTAGCAGAACTCTGACATCATTTAATAATTTGCTGTCTTAAATGAAACTGGATAATTACAAATAAAGGCACTGGCAATGGCATCACTGCTACCTTTTTTTTATTACTGTTGTTGATCAGGTATCTGTTAATTATTATTAACCTGGTGGTGGTGGTGGTGAGCCTGCTGTTTGGTGAAGAAAAACTCCTTGTAAACAAGGCTCCCCTCTGGTACCGGCGACACAACGCGAACACACAGAGCCCGCTGCCCCACACTACCCGCCCTCTGCCTCCCGGCCGGACCGGCTGTTCCCCCCTGGCCAAGTGGTACAGCCGCCAACCCCCTAACCGACCCCCCGCGCCGCCCAGTGGTTCGCGCCTCCGGGCCAGCGCACAAGGGGTGGGGGGGGGGGGGTGGGTGGAATGGCGCATGCGCAGAAGAGCGTCTGGCGGCTGCGCTGTGGAGGGCGGTTGTGGGAAGTGCGGCTGGTCGGGTCTGTCCGGGCCGGGCGCTCCGGGGAGACGGTGGGGGCGGCTTTGCCGCTCGGGGCAGTCCCGGAGCCGGGAACGGCCGGCCCCCATCTCGGGCAGCGCTGTGGATGAGGAACTGCGGATGTGAGCGAGGTCTGTGCGCCTGGGCCGGCACCCCAGGTCTGCGTGAGGGGCTCGGCGGCGTCGGGGCGGGTGGGGACGGGGTTGTTGTGCCGGTGTTTGCGTGGGAACGCAGGTGCTGCCGCCGCCGTGCTGCAGCTGGGCTTGGTCCGGTGGATCGCGCTGTTCAGGGCCTGCTCCTGCCATCGGACTGGCGTGTTTTACCCTGTTTTTTCTCCGGAGATTGGGGGAGGAGGGTGCTACTGGGACTCCACCTTTGAGTCGGTCTAGTCCGGTGTGAGGCTCTGGGGCGGGAGTGGGGTCCTCAGACAGAAGCTGCCAGCCAACTCCCCTGTCTTGGAGAGAGGCATTTGCGAGTACAGGTCTCTACGGGGGTGTGGGTTGATGGTGGCGTTTGCTGCATGGTGAACCAAGGCTGGGGCATCTCACCAGGGGATCTGAACTCGGTGGTCGCTGTGGCTTTTTCATCTAGCTCCTACCAAACTCCCAAACGCGTTGCAGTTTGGAGCGTTTACAGACTTGAGTGGGTCTATTACCTGGCTTTTCCCTCCCCACAAATCCTTGTTTTTTGAACTACAGTGTATTCAGGAAGTTTCAGGTAACTTGATGCACTTACTGCTGGGCTGTTCAGTTAATGACACGAATGTTGTTAATAATACACATTAATGTTGCTTGTCTGCATTCCATACTCTTGCATTTTTGCAATATGTTTTCTGTTGGAAAGTGGTTTAATGTTCAGAGACTGATTGCAAAGTCTTGGTTTGAGATAGGATCCTGAAAGCCCTTTTCTATGTACATGGTCCTGCTCACTGAATTAAGTTTTTAGTTTTATATCCTAGGTCTGTATCTGAATTGCACCCAAAGCCTTAGGAAGTGGTGTAAAGTCAGTGAGATAAAAGCAGGGGAGTAGGAGAATAATGGCATAGGTGAATAACTGCTTGTTGCTGTTGAAGTAAAAGTTCCGTAAGTAAGAAAACAGGGCTTACTTCTTTGTATTTACTTCTTTGTATTTTCCTCTTTCTTGCCTTCCTAATTTGCCCTCCTCAGCTTTTGTTTCAGTGCACTACTTTGTGCTAATACAGATTTTGCAGACCAATTGTTAAATGCGTTGTTAAACACACTTAAGTTTGTCGTTTGTTTTTTTTTTTTTTTGTCTGTCTGCCTGTCTTTGGGATGAATGTGCCTAATGCAACAATACTAAAGTTGTAACTGCAGGGGAAGTGAGTTCTCTATGGTTTAGAACCTATGTATATGGATGACTTAGAAATTCACTTTTTTTTTTTTTTTTTTTTCCTCCTTGCTCCAGATGGAAGAGTTCGTGGTTTCTGATTTGCATAATAGCAGGGGCTGAATAGGCATAAAGGAGACTATAGTGCGGGTGAGAAGTGTCAAAGAAGAAGAAATGAATCCTACAAATGCTGATCCAGTGTTTGGGACCACTTTTGAATGGGACTATCTCTTATGGGAAGTTCGCTTGACATTTTTAGCTGCTGGCTTTTTAATCTATTTGGGAGTATTCCTTCTGTCTCACTGGTTGTCTTCATGGATAAGTACCACTTATCATGCCTTGTATGCAAAGGAGAAGGTGTTTTGGAATATGGCAGTCACACGTGGTGTGTTCGGACTTCAGAGTTGTGTTGCTGGGCTATGGGCTTTGCTCGTAGATCCTGTTTTTCATGCTGACAAAGTGTATTCACAGCAAAATTGGAGTTGGTTTAACTGTTTAATAGCTGCTGGATTTTTCTTGCTTGAAAATGTAGCTGTTCACGTGTCCAATGTTATTTTTAGAACATTTGATGCGTTCTTGGTAGCTCATCACTTGCTAGCTTTTGGTGGCTTGGCTGGTCTAGTGATTAATGTGAAATCTGGACATTATCTGCCTTTGATGGGAATGTTGCTGGAGATGAGTACTCCCTCAACATGCATTTCCTGGATGCTTTTGAAGGTAAGACCATGGTAATTTTGTTTGTAACAGTTTTCATGTATCTCACTTTTCACAGGTAATCTGTGCAGTTCTTTTAGGTAGCTTTTAAGTAAAACTGCATTCATATAACTGGGACCCATGTTACTGTGATACCTTCTTTTTGTCATCATGATATTTCTGTAGTCCTTCATACAGGTTTTTGTGCGATAACGTGTGCATGTGGATAGTGAGATGGTATAGATCTGTTCTGAGTTTGGGGTGTGGTATGCGTGTGGAAAATCATAGCTGTGCATGGAAAAAATGCCTGAGAGTGTGTGTTCATGAAAGCTGGGTATTTGCATTAGTTCTAGAGATTCCTCAGTTCACTATGTTGAAGTAACAATCTCACTTCTGCATACTTTCTATTCTTGTTTTTCTAGGCTGGCTGTGCTAACACCTTTTTCTGGAAAGCAAACCAGTGGGTGATGATCCACCTGTTTCACTGCCGCATGATTCTTACTTACCACATGTGGTGGGTGTGTATTTTCAATTGGAATTCTGTGGTAGAAAATTTGGGACTTCTTCATTTTACTGTTCTATTCTCGGGATTATTTGCTGTTACGCTAATACTTAACCCATACTGGACGTACAAAAAAACGCAGCAACTTCTGAACCCAACTGACTGGAATTTTGAAAATAAAGCAGTGGAAAACGGAAAATTAAATGGTGAAACACATGAAAAGAAGAGGATGTGACACTGAAACAGCTGTTTCCTTATAGGGTGGCAAACGAATACAATGCAGAGTAATTCTTTGCCTGTGAAATAGAAGCTGTTGCATGAAGTTCATTAACACAGTGCTTCTTTGCTGGTAGGATTCTGTGTGCACCAGAAGTATTTTAATGGATTTTTTCTGTTTCATATGTGCATACACACAAGATAGTCAACCTCTTAAGATATACACCAAAATTTTGTCAGGTTGGACAATATTTCATGATCTAGTAGTGATGTGCTCTCTAATGGCATCCTTTGTCCTAATGCTTCCAAGAGGCTTTACAGTTAATTTGGCTATTAAGCTCAGCTTGAATCAAGTTCAGCTTGAATCCTATTTCATACATGTCAGAGATACTGTTAATGGAAGTTACATTGTTTATTAAGATCAATTATGATGTGAGTTAGGTATGCATGGGTACCTAGTTCCTGTGTGCCATTTAGTCATTCCAAGTGACTGAATTGGTCAGTGGTAGAATGCAGTCACGGCTGGAGTGTGGGGTTTGGTTTTTTTTCTGTTTTTCGTTTTGGGTTCTTTTTTCCTTATTTTAAGCGCACTTGAGGAAAAGGAAGATAATTGAGTGTTCGCTGTAAAAGTGAGTTTCCAGGTTGCCCTTAGTATGGGAGGAGTTCATATCCACCACAAAGATGCATGTGGGGATGCAGGCATTTATTATGCTGGTGGTCTAGCCAGACGATCATAGTGGTCACTTCTGGACTTGAAGTCCATAAAATACAAAAGACAACAACAGAATGTTTGGCTCCCTTTCTGTGCTTGAAAAGATTGCTGGTTGATTAGTAAAATTATTTTCTTTGTAGGTCCCACGTGAGGGGTCATGTAATTAGTTCTGTTAGTACTTCTGTCGTGGTTCCTCTTATTTTTTGAAGTTTTCTTAGTTACAGAGGGTTTTAGAACCTGGGGAGGCTCCTCTGTGGGGGAAAGCCTGTATTGCCTCCTTTAAGAGTTCAGTTGTACTTCCACTGATTTATTTTACTTCAAAGACCATACAAAGTGACACTAACAGTCCTTTGCACTTTATCTGCTACATCACTAAAGCTTTCCTTGACCTAAGGAATAGGGTCCCTTTTCAGATATATGGACTTGGCAAATTGTGGTGAGTGTTCTCCCACTCAGTAGCATTTCTCTGATGGTTCCAGGGTGAAGTGTTGGACCTCAGGTGAAGGTCTAATAATCACGACAGAAGACAGTGACGCCTAGTGGCAGGAGAATGACAAGGCTTTTAAGTAGTTTGTGCACTGAGCTAGGGAGATAAAAAGCCTGTCGTTTGAAACTTTTATAATGTGGTGTGACTGCTACACAGATTTATTTTCCAAAGCAATAAGACTGGGCAAGCCCGAGCTATGAAGAATTTTAGGTCAAGGCATATGTTAGAGGCTTTATGTGCTGCTCTGTAGTGGAGCACATTTTAAACATGTAAGGGAAGCACTGTTTAGTGTAAACAGTGCCATGTTGTTAATTTTTGGTGGAAATGTGCTTGATTTGATTCTGAGTGAAGGGAGGAAACTAGTGGTCAGGTTGCTGTGTTCCCTAATTTAGTTCGTGTAAGCACAGAGTTAAAGAGCTGCTCTATGAGGCAGAGGAAACTTCTCACTATTAAGTCACAAATATAAGGCTAGATGTTGTTGATAATGATGAAGTGGTGAATGTCTGAAACTGACCATTCAGAACCAGGGTAGTAATTTTGCACAGCAACCCTGTCTGTTGTTCTGTTGATACTCAATAAAGAAATCTATATTTTGGCTACCTTCTTCTAAGCAGGCCAGAAGGGGAAGTGGGGTTGAGGGGAGCAAGTGGCTTTGTGGCACTTAGTTGCTGGCAGGGGTTAAACCACAACACAGTGTTTTGGCACTATAGCCTATATGAATGCCATTCTACAGAGAAAAGGGTTCTCTAAAGCTTAGAACTATGTGCTTCTCCTGAGGAGCTGTGTGTGGGAGAGTAATGTTGAAAGTGCTTTAGAAGAAGGCAGGGGATGGATTCCTTGGGAACAACCCAAATATGTGATCCAAATACATACCTTGCAGAATCCAAACATCGCTTACAGGAGTTCCAGAGGAGAAGGCAGGGGTTAAGTCACCAGGTATCAAAATGCTGGTGTACTCTGTGCAGCTTAAAACTGGAAGGTTTGGATTCAGTAAAATTAGGTGTTGTGGTTTAAGCTGAACCGAGGACACTACGTAACAATTATGAACATTTCAGCTATGGAATTCTGAAGAATCCTAGCAGAAAATGAAAGCATTAAAAGAAAAGTAGATTTTGGCCAAGTATGTGATTCTTATAGTGGCTGGCTGAAGGAGGTAAAGTTTCTATGTGCTAAGATAAGAGAATATGAAGGGGTGGGGCTAGTAGTGAATTTGGGAATGAAAATTGAAATTCAGTGTGATCTGAGTGGCACCAGGCTTCTAAAGTTTAGTACTTTGTTTTATCAATTTGTGTAGTGTTAATGTGGATTTTAAATATCTCATTAAAAGTGTTTTTTATTACTACAGTAAGGAAGTTTGGTTAGTGTGCATCTTAGCAAGATTTGTTTTCATGCAAAGACTGTTATGGCATATCTCAAATCTTTTTCATGTCTCAACTATGTAATTGTTGACCCCAGATCACCTGTTAACTTAAACATTGCTAGATCTACTAGAAAAAGGGAGCTATGCAATAAAGCAAATAACAGCACTCATTTCTGTTGGTTTGAGTGTACCTTTACAGTCCATCTAAAAATACAACAGGACATAAAATACAGCCAACCTTAATTCTTCATCTTGATGGCCTGGAGTTGGAGTTACCAGTTCTGTTACACAGGGACTTTTATTATACTTGAGTGTTTTCTTTCCTGCCTTTTGTTGCTCCCTTTAAGGGAATTTTCTGGTTTGTGATTGTGGCTGATTGTCTCATTGCTCTGAAACAAGACTCAAAAAAAGTTCTCTAACTGGGGGAGTTGGTGTCTAATTACCTGTATAAATAAGTGCTGCTTTTCAGCCCAAAAGGAGACTAGCCATAGTTTGTTTATAAATTTTGTTAATGTGAAACTAACCCCAGTCCTGTTCGGCCTCTCTTGTAATGCCTCATCTACAATCTGATGTTGAAATATTCACACTTGGCTTCGGTAGTGGCTGTAGTGGCTGCATCAGGTCACAAGGTGTGCTGCTGCCATGATTTGGAAAAGGCTTTTTTTTTTTTTTTTTTGAACAAGCCTATTCAAGGAGTCCTGTTTGTGTCACCTTTCTGGCTGAAGCTTTTTAAAAAGCAAAACCAACCCACAACAAAGAATAAACTGTGATGGGGGTGTTTGGCATTTGTTTGTTGTTTTTTTTTGGGGGGGGGAGTGGTTGCGGGGGCTGATATTTTTGTTTGTATTTAAGAAAAATGCCTGATCTAAGACACCCTGGCCAGACATCTTATTTTTACCATCTTCACACAGCATTCCTAAATCACAGTTTGCATGTGCTTCCATTTGTGTCCTGTCTTAGTTTTTTTCCAAAACCTATCATCCTTTCCCTTCCACCAATCTTTCAGTAATATTTACTGTCACTTGTAGTACAGTTCATGATCTTGAAGCAGGCACATTGCTACAGTGATATCTCTGTCTGATAGTTTTCAGCATGTACTATTGTGCCCTTCCTCCACTAAGTGCAGTGTCCAAGTCTTTCAGGTTTTCTTGCTTTTTCCTGGTAACACTGATTAAGTATTGCTGTTACATACAGTAATAAGACACCTTTCTTAACCTCAGGGAGACTCCCACTCAAAGTGAATTCAGAAGTATTAAGCAAATTCAAGTTTGCTCTTATATAATAAAAGTTTGTTGAATGGTACAGCATCTTTACACTGTGTACATAAATAAAAGTATTTTATTGAATAATTGTCTCCTGAGTTTTATTTACTCATGACAATGTCTATTTTTTGCTTGCTATTTGTTACTTTAACAGTTTTTGCAGTGCACACACTAAAACAATGACTTGTTTTGAAGTACTCATTAAACTTGACAAAGGCAGTATCATATCCATGTAAATAGCTATGAAACTTTGTAAACTTCAAAATTTAACATATTTAACATACAATATTTAACACACAGGAGCTTGTTTAGTTACATGACTAGAAGCTGTGACATATGTAAGTATGTATTAAAAATGGTTTAAAAGAATCACTTGGAAGTGATCTTTATGACTTGTTTCTTTGAAGTGTGGGTTCCATTTTTTTGTTAGGCTCTAACTGTGAAGACACTTCATTTGGTACCACATGACACTGCATGTTTTAGTATGGGCCACCTTAAGTTAAAAACAACAAAACCCACAAAGCAACAAAACAAAAACCCCAAACTTGTTTCATTGCTAAATAAAAAAATACAGTTTAAAACGTTAAATGTTATGTATTGTATGGTGCTTTGAAGGAATTAATTCCTGATGGTTTTTAGTATTAATGAGTTAAAAAAAGCATTGATACTGGCATTTTTAATTATTATTCTGAGAATGCATTGTGTAAGCAACTGGCTGGAATGATTTTGCTAGTTGCTCCTGTAGTGAAGCCCCAAGATTAACTGATGTTCATGTGTAAAGCTCCACTGTGGAATGTGTGTGGGTACAGACTGGGATGAGAAGAATGCATGCTAGTATTTGTATGAATAAAGTCCTTTTTTTTTTGTAAACAATCTGTAAAAGGAATTTAAATGTTACTGATGTTTTGCTAGTCAGATGTTTTCAGTTAACAGGTAAGTATATTTTACTAAATAGCTCTTGTTGTATTCCCAGAAAAGCACACTTACACAGGCAAGGTTATTCAGCAATTACACTTTTTCAGTCTCGTGTCATGGCACAAAAAGTAACTGATGGTCATTAAAGTAAATGATTCCTGTTTCTGTAGGTGTCATCATCCAGATGGCTTTCCAGTGTTGGAAGAGTCATTACATGCTTGGGATCTGATTGATGAATTAGCATGTTCTGCTAGCAGTGGTGTCACAGAGTGAAACCAAGTGTTTGTGCAGCACATAGAGCCTTCCTCTTTCCATTGAGTAAAACCATGCTGAGTGAGGTAGATTGAAAAAGATAGTGATGCAGCGAATGTGTAAGGACATAATGGTATTCAAGGTTGCAGAAGACAGCCCTCTCTTGAAAAGAGAAGGGCCTGCTCACATGTCCACAAAGAAAGCAAGGAAATGGGTTGTGCTCTGTGCATGTGCATGTTCTGATGAGTCAGCTGAGGTCACTTCTGAGTCCTTAAGGACATGACCTGAGCAGAGAGAGTGGAAATTTAATACTAGCTTTATGAAATATAGGATGCAGTACTTTGAAATATTTATTCCTCATGATTCTAGCTGCCTTTGCTCCTTTGAAGGCTTAGTTCATAGTAGAGGTCTGTATAAGCCCTCTGACACTGTTTTCACCAGTATGTTCTCTGACATTTTACTGTCAAGACTAGAGTGAGGACGTGCCTTGTCTTAGTACCAATAATTGATTGTGGCAGCTCCAGGTACTCACTCAGACTGACTTTTATGTTGCTATATAGATGTGCAATTTCCTTCTCCT